TGGCGGACGAAGAGGATGCTGTGGCGATAGTTTGTAGTTTGTTTTTAACCGAAAAAAAAAAACGTTATCAAAAGAAAAGGCGATGGTCAAAGAATCTCCGACATCCACCGGACTTTCTGGTGCGTTATGCCGCCGGCTGTTTTGATTTTGTTTCCCGGTGCTTCCTCTGTGCCTCGTCACCTCGCTTTCTGATTGGTTACATGCCACAGTCCACAGGCTGCGTGCTCGTTTGTCCCCCGCGGACACCACACACGAGGAGAAATCGGGCCAAAAAAATCCAACATGTTGGATATCCCTGATTTGAGATCGGAAGCGGTCCTGACGTCCTTCCGAGCAGACGAGAGCAGTCTTAACACACCACACACTGCAGGAATATCTGATCAGATTATTTTACGATAATCGGAGCATCCTTAAAGGGCACCTATTATGCAAAATTCACTTTTACATGCTGTTTGAACATAAATGTGTGTTGGCGTGTGTGAGCAAAACCACCCTAGAATGATAAAAATCCACCCAGTGTTTTTTTTACAATCTCAATACTTCATATGCACTCTCTCAGAATGAGCTGTTCTAAGATTCAGCTTTTTGTGACGTAGAACATGGGAAAGGGGTTTGATTGACAGTGTGGTTGAGGCAGACCCCTCCCTCGGTGATCTGATCCTCCATTGTTGTTTCAACGACAGCCGGACCGCTGTTCTGAAGATTTGTGCTGCCTTCTAGAAAATGCCTCCTAAGAAAAATAAGTGTTTTGTTGTGGGCTGTAATACTGTAATACAGGTCTTGCTACAAAATTAATCCTCAAGGGTGGAACGTTGCCTAGTGTTCGCGATCCAACGACAATTCCTGAAGAAGTAAGTGTATTTTATGATTTCTGAGGTAACGTTAATAGTCATCGACAACAAATGTTGTTGTCGTCGTCGTCGTATGATTTATGTAATTTAAACCTTTTAAATAACCACACGTTTTCATATGTTTTTTAAGATATTGTATTAAAAAGTGTTCTATCTCCCTGCAGCATATATTTTCTTGTTCTGTCGCCATCTTCTCACATTTGCCACATAAACACCTGTTCGAGAAGTGAGGTAAACATGACCAAACAGGTCTCTCGCATTAATGTAATTTTATTTGTAGGTAGCAAGCGTTATTATCGGTATTTGTGTTTGTGTTTTCAAACATTTGCGTCAACGTTATCACAGTTTGTGTGTGTCTGTGTGTGTGTTGCACAGCGATGACAACGCAATGAGTTCATAAATGTATCAAATAACCATTCCGAGACATCCTGGTCCATTCTCGATCGTGTTTCTTCAGCCGGAGTCTCTTCGTCATCTGGGTCGGACTCTGGTTCAAACATGTATGGCCGAATGCCATACACAATTGCGGGTCTATCACTCTCGGCCATTATGGTTCTACCGACTGTTAATTGCCATAGTTATGCAAGTTACGCCCACATCCAGTGGCAGGGTGGGGATTAGCAGCTCATTTGCATTTAAGGTCGTCTGCCTCAAAACAGCTTGTTTCAAAACAGGCCCCAAAAATGACACATTCAAATGGTTATAATAAATTAACTGGGGGGTATTTTGTGCTGAAACTTCACAAATACATTCTGGGGACACCCAAGACCAATATTACATCTTGTAAAAAGGGCCATAATAGGTGCCCTTTAAGATTGTCGGAAGGGGTAAATCGGGACTAAAATCGGCCTAATTATCCTGCCGTGTGAACCAGGCTTAAGGGGCCAAAGTTCACATTCAGAGCCATCAATTTGATATTCTGATTTGGCCGAAGCTGGATTTTCAACAAAGTGAAATCACTCATAAACTATCTGAACAGAGAGAAATAAAAATAAGAAATAAAAATTAACAAAACTTATGTGATTTATTTAATTAATGAATTTACCTGTTTACCTCAGGGGGTTAAACATTGTAACACTGATCAAGTAATATATTTTTTAAAACCAAAACTGTACAAGATGTTTTTCAATTTATATTTAAAGAGGCGTTTACAATTAAGATGAAATGAAATATGCAGTGTCTGTGACAAATACCTGTTTTACATCTGCTATCAGGTGTATAGAGATGAACTAACTTTGACTTTACATGGATTTTGGTCAATAATAAAATAAACATGAAATATTGATAAACAAATAACTTAATGAATTATCTTATTACCTTGATTCTTCTTTGGAAGCAGATTCTTTGGTCTGTTTATTCTTGGTTTGGTGACAGAGCTCTGACTCTTTGTGTCTTGTCTTGTTGTGAGCGCAACCGTGTGCTCTTCTGTTTAGGTGTGTTGTTTTGTCTGTTTGGTGTCTTGTATTATTTTCATGTTTTCACTGTGAAGCTGCTTTGATACAATCTGTATTGTAAAAAGCGCTATATAAATAAAGGTGACTTGACTTGACTGGTGCCAGCACATGGCGTCCTGCATGTTTCCCTGTGCTCGGCTGTCTGTGTAGCCCCACCCATCGTGTTATCTGTTATTGGTTAGTTTTTCTCACCTGCTCTCCCTCGTTACCTTCCTCGTTTGCTTCCCTATTTCTTCTCCTCGTGTTTGCTGTCCTGTGCTGGATCATCATCGTTGGTCATGGTATGTCGCCAAATCGTTGACTTGTGCGTCCCTTCATGTTTTCAGTTCAGTTAAGTTCAGTTTAGTCCAGTCTAGTCTAGTCTAGTCTAGTCCAGTTCAGTTTAGTCCAGTTAAGTCCAGTCCAGTCTAGTCCAGTCCAGTCCAGTCCAGTCCAGTTCAGTCCAGTCTAGTCCAGTCTAGTCCAGTTTAGTCCAGTTAAGTCTAGTCTAGTCTAGTCTAGTCTAGTCTAGTCTAGTCTAGTTTAGTCCAGTCCAGTCCAGTCAAGTCTGTTCGGTTTTTCCCGCTCTGGGTAGTTTTTGTTGTGTCTGTTTTATTTTATTATTTAAGAAAAGAAAAGAAAAAAACTAACCTGTATTTGAGTCCTCGCTCCTACCACCGTACCGTGACAAGCAGTACATTTCATTCTAGATGGCGTCATTTGTCATCATCAGTCATTTAAATATTTCATGGATCAAGAAATGAAGTTTTATGTAACAAAGTTCGGAAGGAGCACATTCAGGTAATCAACCAATCAGCACAAGAGGAAGCCGGTATAAATATAGCCTTCCCTCATCTCTGTCTCATGACAGTTTCACAGCATCCCTCCACCACCCCACCTCACTCTTGGCTAGTTGTCTATCCTAGTCAATAGGCGGGAGTGCTCTGGGTTCGGGCCAAATTCTGGACGGCACACCAAATACGCATAAATTACTTCTACATCTGATTTCATGTACGTGTAAACTTGTGAAACAGCTCTAAATCTGCTGTGAGTTATTTATCAGCCTGTGAATCCATTTAAATCTGTGTGTCAGCATTTATTCAGAAGTCAGCGTTCACATCAGCTATATCAATTATTGTTTTTATTTTATACGCCACGATGTGCCAACCAACCTCACTCATGCTTCCCATTTCTAACACTCATATATTTTAAACATATCTTTCCAATATATATATATATTTTTAAATACAATAAATGATTTTTTTTATGGACATGCTCAGTTTTATTGTAAAAAGTCAAAAGCTTAGTACAAATGTACAGGCAATAACACAACTGTAATTGATTTTAGACTCCATGAGGAAGGATAAAAGGGATGGTGGAGGGTTTGCAACCTTTCTGAGGGGTGATGAAGATTACAGAGTGATGAAGGTATGAGAAACGCTCAGTAGAACAACTGAATGTAAATGGGGGAAATGAGGAGAGAATTGTTGCTGATTTTAGTGCTATAATAACGTTATAATGTGGAATAAAGGAACTCAGCCTTAATTAGACTGAATTCTCTTCTCACTCCAGCCCAGTAGATGGCAGACTGTGTGGTTAGTTCACAAGCCGCCAGTAATCCTACAGTAGAGGAAGATGAATGGTGTTCCCTCAGCCCACAAGTAACACATCTTGGTGAAATCTTCAGCTGGAGTCTATAAAGTGAGTTAGTTTTTATGTTGTAACAATTCATGTTCATTTATAATAAACGGTTGTGCGCTGCGGCCTGGAGAGAAGTTGTGATGATGAGAGAAACGGAGGTTTTTGTACACCGAATAAACTCACGAATGATTCACTCTTTCGAAGCGCTGCACGCTGGCGACACCTGCTGGTCAGAACGGTGTAAATGCATGAAGAACAGCCCGAACATGTGTAATAATACCGTTTACAAACTTTTTTATTGAAACCGTTATCTATATAATCTACAAATCATTTAATATCTTAAATATGACGCATATGTAGCTATGATTTGTGTGTTCTCATCACTAGAGAGTGGAGAGTCACTACAGTTTAAACGGTGCTGTATCAGGCGAAAGTGTAAACAAGGCTTACGGCTAGGCTAGTATGCTAAAAAGGTTAAGCACCACACAACTATTGACCTATTAAAATACTGTTGAACATGCATGTCTTCCCACAGGAGAAGAAGCAAGGAGGAATTACTGCAGGAGAAACTACTGACATACTATTGAAAATATGGATTTTGAGGAAGAATCCTGGAGAATAAAAGATGAAGATACAGAGGAACAAATAACGTTCGGTCAGTGTCCATTCTTGTTTCTTTATTAATAACTGCTGAAGAACATTAATACTATAAACCCTCATTTACTCAATTATATAAGCAGTAAAATAACATTAGGCTAACTAGGAACAGATATGAAAATACAAGATGAGTTTGGGAAAATGGATTTATTGGCAAAATGTTGTATTGTAGATGTATTTTCCTAAACTCATCTTGTATCTCTTCCTAGTTAATGTTATTTTACAGCTCATATAATATCTTATAGTTTGTCTTCCTAGTTAATGTTATTTTACAGCTCATATAATATCTTATAGTTTGTGTAATTTTAAAGTAGTTGCCAAGATTTGATGACTTATAATTTCAGAAGTATGTTTAGCACCCAATAAATAGCCATAAAGGAAATCACATTCTGCTATTAAACTATGGGTTGCTTTTTATTTTAATATTGAAATGTAATATGTTCGTTTTAGGTCTGATGGAACAGAGTGAAGTGGAGGAGAAACTCCATCAGTTTCAGAAACCTCAACAAAACACTAAAAGAAGAGGAGAGAAATGTCTTTGCATCTGCTCTGAGTGTGGAAAGAGCTTCACAACTAAATCAAGCTTGAAGAATCATATGAGAATCCACACCGGAGAGAAACCCTTCACATGCCGTCAGTGTGGAAAGAGCTTCACATGGGAAACTAGTCTCAAAACTCATCTGCTGTTTCACTCAGGAAAAAGATCATTTCGCTGTGATCAGTGTGACAAGACATTTATTTTGAAAGCGGAACTGAAAAGACACATAAAAATTCATGCAGATGAGAAGCCTCATGTGTGTTCTGTTTGTGGAAAGAGTTTTTCACAACTCCAATATTTAAAAATTCACCATAGTATTCATACTGGTGTGAGACCTCATGTGTGCTTGGACTGTGGGAAAAACTTCACTAGATCCAGTGACTTAAAATCACACCAGAGAGTTCACACTGGAGAGAAACCGTACACGTGCTCACACTGTGGACAGAGTTTCTCTCATTCATCATCCTTGAAAGATCATGAGAGAATTCACACTGGAGAGAAACCGCACCAGTGCTCTTTATGTGGCAAGAGTTTCAGCCAATTATCTGGTCTACGAACTCATGTAAAAAAGCATTGCCCAAAGTTGTGTAAGTGAGCAAAGTTCACATTCAGATCCATCACTTGAAAGAAAATTATTTGATATTCAGATTTGGCAAAAGGTGGAATTTCAACAGAATGACTTCATTTAAAGGGCACCTATTATGCAAAATTCACTTTTACATGGTGTTTGAACATAAATGTGTGTCGGCAGTGTGTGTACACAACCACCCTATAATGGTAAAAATCCACCCACTCCTTTTTTTAATCCCCATAAATCATAAGCAGTGTTTCAGAACAAGCCATTTTTAGATTTTGTAATGTCACACTACATTATTATAGGGTCTATTTACCATGACCTCATGTCCTCCATGTTTATCTCCTTGCCAGAGCATTTAACAGTAGCATTCAAGTAAGAAATGTATTCTTATTAAAGCTATTACATTTTTTTCAATCAAGAGCAGTGAGTGATTTTCTGTTTTTCTTTTGTTGTTTGATTCATATTAACAGCAGATATTGCAGTAGGTTCTATATATTACTCTGCTTTAATACACAGATCTAATATACTCATCTGATTTCTTTCCCCGCTGTTTACACACACATAACTGACTGTTTATGAGAACTTTGAATGTTTTTGACATAACCTTGTGTGTATTTGACAGTTTAAGCGCAATAAGTCCTGAAAGAGAGCTTAGTTTAATACTCACGTCTGACATCCAGCTTTCTGTGCTCGTGCTTCAGATGTGTGTACTCAGAAAACCATATTTCAGAAGTTTAGACTGATATGGCTTTAAAACACATGCAGATAATAAACTAAAAAACTGCAATGTCACTATGACCTTGATAGAGATGAAAATCAAATCAAATAGAAATGATAGCTTTTTGCAGTGTTTCAGAGACAAGGTGGAATGCAAAAGATGGTGTTTTATTTATAGAGGTGCGGACTGCGGAGTATATACAGTTGTGTCCAAAACTGTAGAAAAATAACTCTTCCATTGGCAAAAATATTCAATAAACAAAAAAATATATAAAATGTTAACACGTATCCCCACAATTGCGTTTTGAGCTGAATATCACAACCACTCCTCAAGCCCCAGTTGGCCCACTTTGGACCAAGGTAATCGGTGGGCCAAAAACCCCTGACCATTGGACCATATAAATGCCTCATTCATTCAAAAACACCAGACCATTGGCCCAGATGAGGCCCGATCAAGCCCCGGAAGTGACAGTGGAAAGGCGAGTAGCCCTGGCACGCTCGCTTTTGTCCCGACAGTGCATGGAAACACGGCTGTTGTCTGGGCCTGATCTGTTTCTGGAAGAGCCGACACAAACTTTACACAGATTCTAAGGGCAGGTTGAGTAGGAGTATATATATATATATATATATATATATATATATGCTCATTCAATATATATGTGTGTGTATGTGTATATATATATATGTGTGTGTGTGTGTGTGTATATATGTGTGTGCAGGCCCGGATTGGCCATCCGGCAATTCTGGCACATGCCAGAAGGGCCGGTGTGATTTTCTATTGTTTTGGGCCGAGCTGACCACGTTGCTGCACCTTTATCGCAAAAAAGTTTTTACGCTCGCATGAGGAGGTTTTTCAGGCAATTCGAAAAAGGAATATTTCGCAAAACTGCAATGGAAACAGTTTTTGCGCATTTACAGTCACCCGAAGACGCGGTGTGTTTGGGGTCCGTGATATACGCAAATAATAGGCTAATAAATATCATCATTATTATAACAGTTATTAGGCTACATATTTAGAAGACGCTTTTATCCAAAAAAAGGAACAAAGCAATTCGTCAAATGTCATTCATAATGGTTAGACAATAATAATACAGGGCTAAGATTATCACAAATAAACACAAGATTTTGACGCATATCCAAGTGTTTGCTGAGCGCGCATGGCACGGAGGCGCGGCCGCGAACACTTGCTTTTTCCTATCAACAGTAGAAACAACTTAAAATAGGCCTACTCTATAATTTCTGGTCATACAGAAAATAATAATACATTATTCGCCACTATGATTTTATTTGTGTAAACTCACAATAACAAGAAAACGTTGTGCTTTTGTAAAATAAAATAAAACAATCATGCGCGCTTTCATGATCTCCGTGAACTGGAGCGCGAGAACTGAAACAAAGTATAGCCTAGGCTAAAGCTTGAAGTGTCCACTTTAAAACGAACAAATTCGAATCGAAAGCTAATACATTCTGATGATGTAATCCTTATGAAAGGTGTATTTCTCTCTAAAGGTGCATTCGCGCGGCGCGCCTCAGCGGAGATGGAGATATGTTTTTAGCCGACACTGATTTAGAAAACAATAGTTTATTAATAAAGAATTAAAATGCCTCGTTATTTTTTCAGACAGATTTATTATCATTAGCCTATAACTCACCTAAATCACCTTGTGGTTCCAGAGGCATAAATATGGCTCTTCTCATTCAGCACTGCGGGAAAAATATAATTTCCAGGTTCTAATTTGCCCTTAGAAAACCATTAAAATCTACATTTTTTTCGAGTTGTGAATATTTTAAATGTTTAATAAAGGGGCAAAAAGTCAAAGAAACGTCTGAAATTTAGTCGATATATTATTATTTTTGCACAGCATTTGTGTACAGTTCAAATTTAAAAAAAAATTGCTGGTTAACTTTGCATTTTAAATAAAAAAATCACCGTTCATTTTTCGTTTTGCAATACGGGTTAAAAAAGGAAAAACGAATGGACACAAATGTACACTGACCGTTTGGACAGAGTTCTTTATTAAATTCATAAAATAAACAATAATTAGGCTTCAGGAATACTGGATTCTAAACCTCAAAGAAATGCCACAATCAAGACCTCGGGGCAGAAATGAGAGAGAAACACAGAAACTCCTTAGCAGTATGCGTCTTTCCCTGCCATTAATGCTTGGATAACACACCACGTCTCATTCCATTAATAATAATAATAATGTCTAGTGTGGTGGTGGCTGATAGACCCGTTGCCATGATGTTTAAATGACTTATCGCGAGAGAAAAAAAGGACGTTGTATCGCATAACATCAGTTAATGGAAACGCCGTCATTTCGCAATAGTTTTTTATCGACATTTAGAAAAAATCGCAAAAGTTTTGCGCAAATCTGTAATGGAAACGCGCCTAAATTGCTGCCTTGTATGGTGTGTCTCAGTGGGAAAAATGTTCAGATTCTGGGGACGTTTTTTAACGTCATCAATTAGTTGGGCCGGTGAAAACCACAAATGCCAGGGCCGAATTTTGGTCCCAGTCCGGCCCTGTGTGTGTGTGTATATACATATATATATTTATATTGAATATACAAGCTACAATATAGATTTTTTTTCACAGCAGCTTCACATAGTAACAAATTTAAAATTGCATGAGAAGCAGCTTGGCCAACAAGCCAAAATTATCAATATCCATCAATTGTGCATACATACACTGTCACATATCAATTTGTGCACATACATGTACACATGTAACAAACTCCTGTACACTCCACTGAACACTGAACAAGCAAAAGACACAAGAGATAGTGTTTTACATTTTTCACATCCGTGTATAGTTTGGTGCGTATGGAGCTAATCATAAAGCTATGTTTGTTTCTACGCAAAAACACAATTTTTGGAAGAGTTAAAATAGTTTTGAATGATGTGTTTGCTTTTGCAAAAGATGTCTGATGTTTTGCATGTTATGTGTGTGTTTTGTGTGTACAGTTTCAAGAAAATGAGCCATAGTTTCAGAAATTGTGTCCAAGCAATTTGAAAAAACTGTAATGTTTAGAGTACGATTATTCTTTGTGCACGACACCTCCTCTCTGTAGGCGTACTAATAACCTCTGGTGATCAACCCCAGCACAGTAATGTCGTCCGCAAATTTAATGACATGTTACTGTCATAAGATGGTATACAGTCATGAGTAAACACAGAGTATAGAAACGGGCTCAGCACACAGCCTTGTGGTGCTCCTGTGTTGAGTGTATAGAGTGTAAAAAAAGAGGGATTATGCACCTTCACTCTCTTCCATTAGTGAAAAGTGAAGCCACCAAAGTCCCAATATGGCGCTGACATCTTGCGCTGGTTTGGGACCCAATTCTGCCCTCACTACATTGTCCAGCATCTTTCAGAAACTGAAATTTTTAATCAAGGTTTAATCATTTTTAATCTATCAAAATAAAGTGCCTCAGGACAGGCAAAAATGCAGAGAGAAATGCCTAGTTATCTCAAAGTAATAGGATTAAAAATAGGATTTAAATTACACTTTTATGTTATGTTATGTGTAGCATTCCCGGCTGAACAGATGCAAGGTACTCTCAGGGACTGATGTTTAAAGAATTTTATTCCCAAAAACACCGTAAGAGCTAAATGAAAGCAAACAGACAAATATTAGTCATCTCACTAATCATTATACATGTCCATAACAAACACATGAGAATGCACATGAACAATTTAATTGGCTTTAGTAAATAGTGTCACCTCAAGTGTTTAGTGAGCAGGCTAATGTAATAACCTTGCCTTTATTCTACTATATAAAACCTGAATATGCATTATAAATTGTTTTAATTACAACAATCTCCTTTTAGAGTGCTAAATGGACTAAATGACAACTAAATTAACTGAATTATTTTGTACAGCTGACGATCTTCATTCAGAGAGAAAACTAAAATATATGAAATGACCAAATAAAGGCCTAATTTCCTGCAAACAATCTATAGACGTTCAAATACGAAAAACGAAGCAATAATAGAGAGTTTTGCATGTGACAGTAACAATCAATCACGCACACATTACATAACATATCACTGATTTACACTATTGTATAGTTTAACCTATATCCTAACGACCCACTAACAGCTTCAAACGAGAACGAAACAACACTTTAGTCTCTCAAAATGTAGCATACGACAAATTAACACGGTACCTTGTGCCCTTCATCAGCCAGGAGCTAAGGGGGTAGAAAGAAACCTTTTTTAAAGCTATAATTTCAGAGTTCGGAAAACTCTCGTCTCACTTCTCTGGTAGCTTTGATCAGAATGACGCGTCACACAGAAAGTGCGCCAACATACACACAGCGCGCGCGCCACTGCACTTCCTTTTCACGGACTTCAAAATAAAAGCATGTGAGGTAAGTGACAGATGCTCTTGAAAAACAAAATAAAAATGCAATATCACCATTATGTATTCAGCGAAAATTACTAAACCAAAACAAACAAATAAAGAGTTTCTTTTAGCTCAGGTTTAGCAAGAGTCCCTTTTTAGTGAAAACCTTCAGTTATTCCATGACCACACCGCCCCTCTATGGCTGGAGGTAAAAGTGATGGCCCATTTTAGAGATAGGGAGATTTAATGGTCCTTTACATTATGTTATGTTAAACATAACATGTTAAACGTTATGTTTTTTCCTTCCCCGTTGATGCTTCACACTCCAGTCCAGTTGATGGCGGTAATACACCATAAGTTGGCTTGTCAACCGCCATTATACGCCAGAAGAAGAAGAAGAATCAACAATAGAAGAAGACGTATGGTGCTCGCTCAGCCACAAGTAAAACATCTCGGTGAAATCTTCAGCTGGAGTCTAACGTGAGTTAGTTTTTATGTTGTACCAATTCATGCTCATTTATAATTTCCGGAAATTGTCCAGAAACGGTGCTTTTCTGGCTGTTCACAACATGTCGCGTCTAAAAATACGAGGAAAAAGACGGCTGGGCAGTTGAAACAAATTATCAGCTCTCCGATTCTGTCAATTGTATTACAAAATTCAAACAATAAATATACCGTTTTGGTTTCGCTGTAACGCCTCAGTTCAAGCAGCACGTGAACCGATTATCTCTTACTCTTTACTAACGTTAACGTTACTAGTAGTAAGTTAACTTAAATAAACACGAATCAACAATAGGTATGTTGAAGGATACAGTACAACTTACCAAAATGTATGTGCCACGTACATAATATTGATTAATCAGTATTTTTCAACCGCGGAATGAGGTCAATTAAACGAGAACAATAACGTTACATTTACCTCAGGAAAAGCCATTTGATGACCATAGCACGTAAAATTAGCTATAGAGGAGTATTTTGCTAAATATGTGCGTTTTATTACATATTTATTATAGTTTTACTTGGGCTATATTATTAAAATATACTAATGTTGTTATTATAATAAAAAATGCATTATATTGAATTTGAGTTCATATTTTAACATTTAATAATAATACCAGGGCTCTCTGTACGTTTACAGCATTAGGTGAGATTTAGTTTTTCTTGCGAAAAAATAACATGTAGGCCTATCTGTACCGTAATATTTGTCCAAATGAATCGATATTGAATCAAGATCGGAATCAAATCACAATAATTGATTTAAATTGAAGTTGTGAAATTTGTGTCAAGCTATAATAAAAAAATAGTAGCCTACCAGTAGAACTGCATGATTAATCGTTAAAAAATTGCGATCTCAAATCAAACACCCACGAGATCTCATTCCTAAGGGACTGTTCGTTTTTTATTTAAGGGGCCACCGGAGGAGATTTGAGATCTGTAGTCAAAAAAGACTTGACCCTCCCTTCGCCAGCAATAATTTTTTCTATGACCCTCCAAAATGATTGTGAAAAAAGGCATGACCCTCCCCGATAATTTATTGATTACTTTTGTACTGGTTTTGGCAAAGATGTTCAGATAACCATTCCACGATAAACGACTAAACTCCTGCTTTCTCATCTTGCGGCTGTAACGATAGACCAAACCTACAATTCGGTTCGTATCACGATTTTTGATTTGAAAAAAATAAAAATAATTTAAAAAAAAATCATGTTTTCGGTGCTGATGCCTTGGTGACGCGTTCATGTACGTAAAATGTAAGGGTGGCGCTGCCAATACAGTATCTTAAAGCTGCCACAAAGAACCGGCAAAAGTGATGATTATGAATAATTTCAAGGGGACATTTTAATTGTTTATTAATAAACAAGTCTTTGTCAGTGTGGCTGCAAATATAAAGGTGATGATGCTGACTCGCGATCTTCGCAGAATCGCAGTAGTGAACGCGCCAGAGAGAAATGCACATTTACGGATTACAGAAGCAGAGTCTGTAGTCTGTTTTCTTTCGTTTTGAATTATTCTGTTAAAAAGTAGACATGTCAAGCTTTCTATATATTTATCTGTAAAAGTTTTAAAGTCACTTTCAGAGCGGTCATGTCCGTAACGGAGAACTGTCACGTCAGTAAAAAAAAATTTCCCTCATAAATGCGAACACGAAAAAAATAAAAAGAATATTTTGTGTTATTAACAGTCTCAAACCAGGACAATTCGATGATTGTTGTGGTTATGTCTTATTTCGACATATGTGTGCTGCATGCAACAATGAAGATGTGCATTTGTAAATCCAGCTATATTTGCTTCTTATTAGGCTAATTCAATCCAGGTAATTGGTTGATGAAAAATTGATTAAAATTAAGATACAATTTATACAAAACGAAATTCACTTTAAAGAAAGGCTTTCTACAAAAAACACTTAATGAGGTGGTCAAAATCATGTCTGGCCATGTCTCCCGATATATTGCGTATAGGCTATACTTTTCATAATAAACAGAAAAAATACATTATAATAAATATGAAACTAAATGCGCTTATTACGGCTACAACACATAGGCTAGACTCTATTTGTACATATTGCTGCACATTCATTTAATTCAGAATTTTGCACACAAGTTGAAAGGCATTTGTTTGTGCATAGTAAAACATATCTGCAACATTTATCAAGTTCACTGATAATTGTGCGTGCATTTATTAATCAATATGATACTAAAATCATAATAAAGTAGTAGGGTTCCCGTTCAATAGTCCAAATTTGCGCGCTGCCATTTTCGTCTTTCTTCTGTGGATTTCTTCAGCTCCTGATTGGTCAAATTCAGATAGATCGACAAATCGGCTCATTCAACTGCACAGCGCACACACCTCACGAATTCAAGCCTACTTCTCCTGAACTTTTTAGACATGTTTAAAAATTATCGTGAGGTCGAGAGGTTCGGCTCGGCTCGTATCTTCCTAGCACACACGAGCCGCAACATGCGAGCACAACCGATTTCCACGCGATTTCTCCAGAGTGAAAAAAATCATCTGCGAGCTCGTAAAACAGCAAAAAATCGCACCGTGTAAGCCCGCCTTAAGGGAGTATGAATATATAAACAGACGTTTCAGTATTAAATGCATTTTCTGAGAATTTATATTTCAAGTTTTGACTGCAAATGTCACGTCCACAACGCTGGAATTGCCCAATTTTAAAGAATTTATCCTCAAGTTTTTTTTGGTGTAGGTCTACGTATTGTATTATGTTAACTTCAAATAATACGAATAGTAATTTAAAAATGTGGTAGCCCTATGCAGGCACGGCGCCAGGATTCCAGGTTTGGATGGGCCAGACCAATTGTGGGTGGGCCTTAAATTAAAAACGTTATCCAATCACTGTTTAACCTAATAAAAATTACTGACTAATATATCTGTAGGCTACCTAGGCTATACATAATATAGATTTTAATAGCTTGATGCTCTTTAAATATTTTGTTGCATTGTTAAAAAGTTTCGGTGCATGTGGAGTCAGGACGGACCTCGCGATCGCTCTCCTTGGTTCTGACCAAAAGAAGAGCGCTTTTGGAATCTCCATTACGCATCATAGCTGGGCTGCGTTTCCCGATAAAAGAAAAAGCGGTGTTCTTTATAAAAGAAGCACTTCAGAAATAGTTGAAATTGCATTTATTAGGACTCATGGGATATAGGCAGAGGCGCTGGCGCCCTCCTAGCAACGGCGCTGGTCGCGCTAGCTGCGATAGTCGCACTATATCGGGTGGCAGAGACGAAGATGTGCTAGGTGATGTGGATCTCAGCTCTCCTTCATCTCCTGGTTGCAGCGATGACTCAGAGACTGTACGTGCGCGTTTAAGGTAGGCCTAACAACGACTGTTGCAACATTGTCCTTTACTGGAAATTATTTTCACACTTTCACAAGCTAATGATAAGCGCTGAAATATTTCTGGAGACATGGAGTGGGTAAAACATTATTTTGACCACTTGAGTTTTGTTTTGTAGAAAGACATTTTTTAAAAAGATTTTCGTTTTGTATAAATTGTATCTTAATTTTGATCAATGTTTTATCAACCAAATGCCTGTATTTAATAAATAAGAAGCAAATATATAGCAGACAATGTAATAAGGCCCCGGCACGATCACTTGCATTGCACGACAACTGGAGCATGTTTCCGCCACAGAGTGAAAAATAAAACATGTAATTGCGATTTTTTTAATCTCACAATTCTGACTTTTTATCTCAGAATTACGTGATATAAAGTGGCAATCGCAGGTTAGCTATAAAGTTAAAATTGTCTGATATAGGCCTAAAGTCGCAACTGTATGTTATTAAGTCAAAATTGCGTGATATAAAGTGCGAGAAATATAGCTTGAAATTCTGACTTTTTTTCACAGAATTGCATGTTTATATCTCGCAATTCTGACTTTATAATACGCAATTGGGAGATATAAAGGCAGAATTGCATGATATAAAGTCGCAATTGCGTGTTACAAAGTCAGAATTGAATTGTGAGATATAAACTATTCTGGGGTAAAAAGAAAAAAGAAAAAAAAGAAGCAATTGCGACTTTATTTCACGCAATTCTGACTTTATAACACGCAATCGCGGCTTTATTTCACGCAATTCTGAGAAATAAAGTCAGAATTGTGAGATGTAAACTCATTGTGAAACTCGAGATACATCTCACATTGTGAGATGTAAACTCACAATTGTGAGATAAAGTCGCAATTATCTTTTAAAATGTTTTATATGGCGGAAACAAGCTTCCATATAGCCTAGGCTATATATAGCCTGCCCTTTTTAAGTAGCCTAATTAAATTAATATAAAGGGGCGATTGCCCACTAATGGACAAATGAACAACTAGTCGACTAGGGGAAAAAAAATAGTCGGAGGCCTTATTCCACATATCTTCGAAGTTCGAACCAGCAGGCCACTGGGTTGACTGCGAGACCGAGAGAGCTGTAGCTACATGGAAAGAAATATGCACCAAACAAGCCACTTTGAAATTTAGCTGTTTTGATGAATACAAAAGTTGGATGACCCTCCCCTATAGACTAAAAAAAGTTGGATGACCCTCCCCTCAACAAAGAATAAAAATACATGACCCTCCCCTATTTTCCTCCGGTGGCCCTTTCCATAAATTCCGAACGGTCCCTAAATGACAACGATTCTCCTGTGTCTATTAAACCTTTACAAAACTGTTTCCCCTAGGATTTTTTTTCAGGGGAGGGGGGGAGGGGGGAGGGGGAGGGTGTGTGTGTGTGTGTGTGTGTGTGAAACTGCTAGTATTGCAGAGCGGGCGTGTTACGGATACGTGGTGTAAATTTTTTAGCAATCAAAAAGAGTGTCTAATTAATTGAAATAATGTATTATGAATCATTAAACTTATACAACATTTAAAAAAATATATATGAAAAAAATTTCACACTAACTCTGTGTTGTGTTTTTCTGGTAATAAAATGAAGACATAAAACACAAATTTTATCATTTATCATCAATTTTAATCATATGAAATTAAATAAACTTTTTGTCAAATAACGTGCTGCACAATGAGCATTTTTACTGTTACAATTAAAACATGAATTATTCCTTAAATTCAGTTTTGATGATAATTTATTTGGATTAGTGTTAGTATTATTACATTGGGACATATCTAAATTCTACTGTACAACGGTAATATATTTCTGTCAAGTTAAACCGAACTTTTATTTTGACGGGTTGCCGTGAAGACCTTTTGAGTTTCTGTGTGTTTATGTCATGATGATAGTTTTTCTCAAATGAAGCGGTTAAATGATCACGAAGTGACTTTCGGAGTGGATCTAGAGCCTGGAGAGGAAGTTCATGCATTTGTGTCTTCATATAGGGAAAAAAACAGCGCAAGCGTCACACGTGCTTCAGTGTGTGTGTGTGTGTGTGTGTGTGGTAAATGAAACTACGCGTCGGCGGCATCATTCATTCACACAGAACAAGCAGGATTCGTATTTAAATTGTCTTTGTGGTTTAATATCCACACACACTTGTCTACATCGCGATTTGATTTCAAGTGTACTGAACTGCTTTCTATTTATTCCTCAAAAGATGTACAAATTCCGCGTAAATTCCTTTTTTATGACTGGATTTCGTCAGCATTTTAGGGGGGGCGGGGGGTCGTTTTGGGGGGGCGGGCCGCCCCCCTAAAACAATGGTAGGGGAAACACTGCAAAATCAGAACCAGAGAAAGCAGTTGTCATGTATAGGTATGAAACAGCTTTACAAACAGTCTTTTCAACCACACAGTGTCAGGAACTACTGGGATAAAAGTTTATAGTTTGATATAAACACTGATGTCCACGGAAGCGATCAAAATAGAGTAAATCCCCTATTGAGAATAACATGGTGCTTCAAATAACGATTGTATCAAGTACGTCATTAAGCCGCCAGATGGTGAAAAGTGACTGTTAAAAAAAGTATTTGTTATTGAATCATTCATTCAATTGATTTGTTAAAAAAAAAGCTAATTCATCCAGTAAATAAAACGAAAAAACAAGCGTGTGAGTACTGCCACTGTTTGAAAGTGCAAAAGACGTGACGTGAATGCTGAGACAGCTTTAAAATATTGTTCAACATTTTAAGGCAGTAAGATCATGATCTATGCTAAGGACACAAAAGGCACTGAATCCCAGGAATGACACACTACACAACAGTTTAAATGTATGTTTTCTGTCAGCTGTATCAGGCGAAAGTGTAAACAAGGGGCTAGTCTAGTATGCAAAAATGTTAAGCATCTGTTAAATGACCACACAGCTATTGACATGTTAAAATACTGGGGAATATTCCCATCTTCCCACAGGAGAAGCAGCAAGCAGGAGGAATTACTCCAGGAGAAACTACTGACATACTATTGTAAAGATGGAGATTAAGGAAGAACCCTGCAGAATAAAAGATGAAGATATAGAGGAACACATAGGTTGGTGTCCATTCTTGATACTTCATTAAAGGTCCCCTGACATGGGGTTATTTTATTATTTTATAATGTTTCCTGGGTTTCCCTTATAATGTTAGTATGTTTTTTAGATCAAAAATAGTCATAATTTAGAAATAAAATGCATTTTTCCTAGCCTGATTTTAGCCTCTGATTTGAACGCTCTGTTTGAAGGGGCGTGTCTGCTGTGGGATTCAGTGTAACCGCGGCCACTGCTGTGATTGGCTGACATGCTTGCATATGAAATAGCTACATATTACATGTGAAACTCTCTCGAATACTTTTGCTACAGCTATTATGTTTTTACTATTACAGCTATCGAGATTAACGAATCGTGAGATGTTTTTAAAGTATTTAGATCTATTCCCATTAGGGCTGGGCGATAAAACGATAACGATAATTATCGCGATATAATTTCTCGATAAAACGATATCAAGAGGTCGATAAATGTTCGATAATGTTTATGCGCCAAAAGCGGAACGAAACTCATTTGAACCGCGCGCCACACGGAGCATTTATCCGCTCGGCTCAAAGTCCAAACGGCACAACGGCAGCGCGCGCGAGCACACTAGAGCAGACAGACGCGTTTACTCTCTGATCGGCCTCGCTCACGAGATCCAGTGAGAAGCGCTTGAGTTCAGCGAAGAACACAAATGTCCAGTTTAAACCAGTTTAAAGGCAGATGAAACACCGCTGACAAAAAGGAGAAACACAGCACGCAACGATACAGTCTGAATCTGAATTGATACTGAATCCATTTAGCCTACCATGGATTTACTGTAACGTTAGCGTAATATTAACTGCACCATGAAATGTGGGATATACATATTAGGGGTCAACCGATATGTGATTTTCAGGGCCGATGCCGATACCGATTATTACAGGTCAAATAGACCGATAACCGATATTTTGAACCGATATATATATATATATATATATATATATATATATATATATATATTATAGCTATGTCTGGTGTAAAACTGTAAATTAATGTCAAAATTAAGAATAACAAAGGGTTTTGACAAATACTTTCTTTAAATGATTTTAAACATATCTTTGAATCTGAGAACTGTTATTAATAATAATAATAATAATAATAATAATAACAACTTGTAAAAAGTGCAGGGAGCACCCAGCAGCATTCTGTAAACATTTTGTAAAACTTAAAGACTCTATTTTAATTTTTAAATAAAATTTTAGTAATCAAAAAGCATTTCTAATTAATTAAAATCAAACTTATTCAATTTATTTACAGTTTAACAAAAATTTAATTTTTAGGGCCTTGTGAAAAACCGAACTTTTATTTTGACGGGTTGCCGTGGAGATCTTTGAGTTTCTGTGTGTTTATGATATGTCGATAACTTTTCTCAGTTGAAGCATTAAAAAGCTCATGAAGTGACTAAGCGGCTCTGGAGATGATGTTTATGCAATCATGTCCTCATATAATGATGCAGCTGAGGCTGAAAACAGTGCAAGCGTCACGCATGCTCCAGTGTGTGTGTGTGTGTGGTGCGTCTCTGCGCCATTCATTTAACGTTAGAGACACCCAGGATTCATATTTAAATAGTCTTTTTGCGGTTTGATTTGTACTGACCTGCTTTTTATTAATTCATCAAAAAGTTGACAAATTCCGTGATATTCCGCTTTATACAGTAAATTCCGTTTTTATGACTGGATTCCGCGACTCCGTCTGTTCTGCATTGCGGAAATCACAGGGCTCTATTATATTGAGGTATTTTGCAACTTCAGTGTAGTAATCTATTGCTTCTTCAGCAAAGTCTGCTGCTGCCTTAACTTTGAGAGACAACTGAAGCGTGATCAGTGAAGCAGCTCTAGTCAGCGAGTGCTCTCTCGGTGTGAGAGTGCAACACTTTCAGTGCCTCAGCTTTCCGCGCTGATTGGCCGGACTCGTGACTCCCAACAAATCAGATGTGCGGGGACATTAGTCTAGTCTACAGAGTGGTGAGTTCCGACAAAGGTGGCTGCGTCAGAGCCAAATATAGCGCATTTCAAAATAAAATTATTTTATCGGCAAATCGGTTTTGAAAATGGCCGATACCGATAACCATAAAAATGCTTAATATTGGCGCCGATAATCGGCCAGGCCGATAATCGGTCGACCCCTAATACATATTGAATTGTATAATAGTATTAATGTAGACAATGTATTAAATGACTAATGGAATATAATTACATTATTTAATAATGTATTTAACTGTTAGGCTACTGTTTTTCATACAAATACCATAGAAACCATAAAGTTACATTTTGCCATGATAGTGAGGTGCTAAGTTATAGGCTATGCCTGGTTTTATCTGTGCTTATCATGATCTAAATGCATGATACTGGATGACCAATGGTTAATTTTAATAAAACTCAAACAGTCAGAATATTACATTTTACCAAATAAAAATGTAGTCGTTACATTTAAAAAACAACAACAACAGATGTTACTGTTTTTGTTAATGAATTTAAATTTAACAGTAGTATTAGCTTGAGTTAGGATGCAGATTCACTGTCAACTCACTGTCAAATATGCATTTCGAGACAAAACATGTAATTTGAATATTGCAGCCTGCACTGCAAACTGTGCTGAAGAAATATTTTTCTATTAAGATATTTATTTTGTTAAGGAAAAATGACAAATGTTTGAATGTTCTACCTCATATTTGTGAAATGTTCACCTGTTTGGCAAGTGTTTGTCATGATATGTTCTGACAATAAAGAGTAGTTTAAAACCACAATTAACACTCTGGTTTATACAACTTTCACTTAGGAGCAAAAATCTGTCTTTAAACTTGAAAGAAATAAAGATTTGACATTTATCGTGATAATTATCGATATCGACTGATATAAAAAAAATATCGTGATAATTTTTTTTGGCCATATCGCCCAGCCCTAATTCCCATCACATAAAATGTTGCCGTGATGAGCATTGAGCAGCAGATGACAGTCTGTTGATCGAGAGAATGAAGATCTTATCATTGCAACGCAGTTTCTGCACTCTCTCTAATGCTTTCACCAATGCAAACCCGATGATGTAAATACAGTAAGAGCTTCGTTGTGCAGTGTAACGTGCGTCATTGATTTCATAACGAGTTGTCCAGATAAACTCGCGCTGTGTGGAAAGATTGTTCTTTGATCGCTTTCTGTATAATTTGCTCAGAATTTAAATAAGATTATTTTCATCCTACTAAAAGAAACGATGTGAAGTTGATATTTTAGTCACTGGCTTGACTTACTGATGCATAAACAGTATCGAACGATTTTGAGAGAAAGATTACCTGTCTGAACTTCAACAATTAGGCTACACATCAGAAATTGTTGCTTGGTAGCTCGATCGATTTATTTTCAGACGTTCATCGAGTTGAGGAAACACGAAACAGTCGTCGGTGAAATGTTTGGACCATGCAAAACTTTGGGAAGTTGTGTCGGCGCATTTCCAGAGAAAATAAAATTAACCCATTGTTTCTTCAGAGGCTCGGATGAAGGAACTAAAAAATACTTTTGTGTTCATTTGTACATCCGATCACTGATCAACTGCCATGCTTCGCTCGTTTGCAAGCCATGATATCTCTCGAGGAAAAACTCAAATCTCAAAGCTATTTCTCTAGGAAAAACTAAAATCGCGCCGGCGCGTTCGTACTTCCTGTTCCTAGCTCGTTTTCTCATGGGCGAGCCAAATTCTCCGGGCGGGCAAAGCAGAGAAAGGGGAGGTAACCTTTCCTCCTTATGACGTCATAACGAGGAGATTCAAGATCAGCGCGTCTGAGCTGCAGAGAAGAGAAAAATAGCCAAAGCTCGGTTTACACCGACTGAAAATTCTAGACACGAGGGGACCAAATACAGGCTAGGGGAACTAGCCTAATATTAATGTTAAAAAACCTCAGAAAGTGAAAATTTCATGTCAGGGGACCTTTAATAACTGCTATTAAACTATGGATTACTTTTATTTCAATCTTGAATTGTCTAATGTAATATGTTCATTTAAGGTCTGATGGAACAACGTGAAGTGGAGGAGAAAATCCATCAATTTCAGAAACCTCAACAAAACACTCAAAAGATGGAGTTTAAGGAAGAGCCCTGCAGAATAAAAGATGAAGATACAGAGGAACAAATAGGTTGGTGTCCATTCTTGATTCTTCATTAATAACTGCTATTAAACTAGGGAGAACTTTTATTTCAATCTTGAATTGTCTAATGTAATATGTTCATTTTAGGTCTGATGGAACCAATTGAAGTGGAGAAGAAACACCATCAGTTTCAGAAAGTGAAGAAGAGGAAGAAACTTCAAAGAAGAGGAGAGAAATGTTCTTGCACCTGCTCTCAGTGTGGAAAGAGCTTCAAAACTAAACCAGGCTTGAAGACGCACATGATAATCCACACCGGAGAGAAACCCTTCACATGCCATCAGTGTGGAAAGAGCTTCCCATGGGCATGTAATCTCAAAAGTCACATGCTGATTCACTCAGGAAAAAGATCATTCGGCTGTGATCAGTGTGACAAGACATTTGTTTTGGCAGAGCACTTGAAAAGACACATGAAAATTCATGCAGATGTGGAGCCTCATGTGTGTTCTGTTTGTGGAAAGAGTTTTTCACTGCTCGAATTTTTAAAACAGCATGAGATTATTCATACTGGTGTGAAACCTTATGTGTGCTTGGACTGTGGGAAGAAGTTTACTAGATCCAATGACTTAAAAACACACCAGAGGATTCATACTGGAGAAAAACCGTACACGTGCTCACACTGTGGACAGAGTTTCGCTCAGTCAGGTGACATGAAAGCTCATGAGAGAATTCATACTGGAGAGAAACCACACAAGTGCTCACACTGTGGAAAGAGTTTCACTCGGTCAGGAACCTTGAAAGATCATGAGAAAATTCATACTGGAGAGAAACTGCACAAGTGCTCACACTGTGGAAAGAGTTTCACTCGGTCGGGAACCTTGAAAGATCACGAGAGAGTTCATACCGGAGAGA